TGTTTTGAGAATGATGAGGGCAATGAATGTACAAATGTGCTTTACACAATTGATGTATGTGGATTGTGATAAGAGTTGTATGAGCCCCTAATAAAATGATAAAAAAAATAAAGAGTGAAGGGTGGAGTCTAGTCTGTCAATTGGTCATAGCCAATGAGGCCTTTATGTGGGCATGACCTTCTCCTGAGAATTCTGGGAACTCTGGATTTTCCTCCTTGGAGGTGGGAGGCACACTCTTGGCTCACTCCCTTCGAGACTCTCTACTGACAAGGCTGACTCCCTGTGAGACATGGACCTACCGTGATGCAGCCCTGGGTGCTGGAGAAGCCATGTGGAGACCCCTGCCAGCACTGAGATGCTTACAACACCACTGGATCCACAGGACTTCCCACCCACTGGCCTGTGATCTTCCTGCATTCGAAGTCATTGCATGTGTTTTGTGAGTCTAAAAAGGACTTTATAGCTTGGTATTGGACATATGGGCTAATATCGGACTTATGGATTTGATCTGGACTGGGCTGGGATATTTCCTCAATATTCAACTGCTCCTGTATATAAACCTCTTTCTTATACACATATGTGTGTCTGTGAATTTGTTTCTCTAGTCTACCCGGACTCACACAGGGACACAAATGTGGGACACTAAGGAAAATATATCACAATTCAATCAAAGTTTAAAGTATTTTCACTGAGCTGAACAAAATGAAGCCCCATGTGACACTCACTAAAAGCAAGCTGACATAAACGGCCTGTCCCACAGGCTCCCTGTGGGACCTGATTTTCTCCTGAAAGTGATTTTTGCAAGTGTTGCTTGCCACAGTTAAGTGTAATGCACCGCTCCCTTGTTTTGCACTCATGTGTCATCAGAGCTGATATTTTTCCTACATACACATTATGGCAAAAGAATTCCAACATATGATCTAACTCTGTGCTCAAGGAAAGATCGGTGATGCCTCCTTTAGAAAGCTCCTCACTGCACGGGCAAGCCTTTAGGCAGTGCTCCAGCAGGAAAACGCGTATGCTGCAAAGACATCCGCAGCCAGGGAAGTTACAAAGCAGGAAGAAATCAGAAAAACAAGTTGGTTTGGAAGAACTCCACCCAAAACAGGATTCTGCCCACCTGAAAGCCAGTGTGCCAGGTTGGCATCCTGCTTATCACACAAGATGTGTGTCTTCCATGGGACACCGAGCAATTAGGATTCTTCCGAACCAAGAAGGATGATAGCATTTCATGATCTTGTGTCTCTGTGTGTGGTCTTTGTGGCTAGCCAGAGTGTCAGGGCCCCAGTCTGTACCTGCCTGGTTTTTATGGTCTTTAGGGAGCCGATTAATCACAAGCGAGAGCCATGGTGTGTCTTCCACAGGTACTTAGGTCATTTGTGGTTGGAGTGTGCAAAGCAAGTCCCCCTGGGCACACTGCCACTGTTGTGCATGACAAATGACAGAATCACCAGGAGCCACAATGATGGGCGTTCAGCTGGCCACTCCCCACCAGTCACTCTGTTGTTGTGACCAGACTCCTATGGGGAAGTCAATAAGAAGTACTATGACCATATAGGGAGCCCTGGTGGTGCTGTGAGTTAGGGATTGTGTTGCTAATGGAAAGGTCAGCCCTTCGAACCCACCAGTCTCTATGTGGGAGAAAGATGAGGCTGTCAGCTCCCATAAGGAGTCACAGTCTCCGAAACCCTATGGAGCAGTTCTCTCTTGCTCAGTGGGGTCACCATGGGTCTGAATTGAGTGGAGAGCAGTGAGTGTGATGGCCACATCAGTGGGTTCAGCTGTCTTCCTAAAAACTGGCGAGAATGGCAATGAGTGGGCCCAGGGAGGCAAAGGGCAAAGTGAATAACGTTCTCACCAGAGGTGGGAGCCTCAACTTGTTTGGCTACGCTGAGCCCTCTGGCCCCCACATCAGGAGATGTGAGGCTGGGCATTTTCTGTATCTGCTCTCCCAGGCAGCTGACTTTCCGCTCTCCGCATGAGCTCGGAGGAGGTAAAGACACTTTGCTTCATTCGCTCCCTGCTTTTGCAGAGGTGCTAGACTAGGTACAAGAAGCACGAGGCGAAGAGTAAGAGGCATTTTTGTTTTTGTTTCGCCAGCCTTCCCCACTCTTTGTTCTGATTCACCTGTAGGTTAGAAGTTCCGAGCCAGAAGCAATTTTAAAGCTCCATCTTCCTATCTAGCCAGCATCTTTCTTCTCGGGGTGTTGCTGATTTCTGTCTGTTGTTAGGTTGTGAACTCAAAAGTTCTGTTCTCACAAACCAAGTGACCCAGGAGCATCCATGGAAGTGCTCCTCCCTAAATGCTCCCTGACAGGTCCCTGGGTGCGGCCAGTGGTTGATACACTTGCCGCTAATGAAAAGGTTGGAGCTTCAAGGCCACCCAGAGATGCCTCTGGAGAAAGGCTTGGTGATCTACTGCTGACAAATCAGCCAGGACAAACCCTACAGAGCACACTTCCACTCTCACACGCGTGGGTTCGCCACGAGCCGGAACTCTTTGGCAACTGGCACTGGCAAGAACCAAGTGGAATTTTTTCAACCACTGGGTTCGCATTGAGCTTCTATCTGAAAGGTCGGCCGTTCGTAATCACCCACAGCTCTGCAGTAGAAACACAGGGCATTCTACTCCTGTAAACAACTACATCTCAGAAACTCAGGCGCGCAGTTCTCCCCTGCCCTGTGGGGTCGCTATGGGTCAGCACCGACTCAACAGTGGTGTGTTTGGTTTGGGGTTTGGGTTCTAGAGAAAGTTCCTTGTGCAAAAAAGCAGTGGAATGGGCAACATTCCAAACATTCTTGGTTGGAAAGTCCCCAGGAGGAGGATCATTTTCTAAAGAAAATCTGAGTTCTGAATTATCTGTCATTATCATGTGTTACCCCAACTGTATGTGTTGCATATCTACTGTGGGTCTAGATACAGACACACACAGTGGTTAGCTCTGGGAGAAAGGCGGGGTTGTCTACGCCCATCGAGAGCTACAGTCTCGGAAACTCACAGGGCCAGCTCTCCCCTGTCCTGCCGTGTCGCCGGGAGTTTGAGTCTGAGTTACCTTTAACAATCAGGAGAAAGTCCTTCACAGTCTCATTTTTCTCCAGAGGTGAAATTGCCACGCAGCTGTAGGTTCCGTTGTCCGATTTCTTGACTTTGGAGATGGACAGTCGCAAGGACTCGCTGGTCTGGTAGACTTGGTGGTGGTTTTTCTCGAACTTGAGGATGCTGTTGTTTTTATGCCACATCATCTGAGCCTGGGGGTTGGACTTCACGTTGCAAACTAACTGCACATCGCTCCCTTCTTCTGCTGTTTGGACGTCGTCGCCACTCAGGAGAGGAGAAACTGCAAGAGGCAAGCACGTAGGTTTCATTAGCGTGTAACCAACTGGCCACGGTCAGGGGGCAGGCTCTTCCTTCCGTCTGTCACATGCAGTCAGTCATGCAGTGGACAGCCATTATGGAGTACCCACACATCAGGTGGGCACACGGACATACAGCTGGGAGATAAGACAGGTCCAGTTTCAAACCCCATAGAACTTTGGATGTGGTCAAGAAGACAAACCACGAAACAGACTCGTGTCTGCACCAAGTTGTCCATTTTTGAGACATGCGAATGGGGCTTTTGTCTCTGAAAGTTAATGTATCAACCTGTGCTAGTGTTGGATCAAACAGTGTCATATTAAGAATGTAGACACCGCCCCGAGCTCCACTTCTGTCCCCGTTACGCACTGGTGTCCTTGAGAAAGCTCCTGAACAGCTAAGGCCTCAGTTTGCTCCTCCGTAAGGGAGGCTGATCATACTTACCTCACCCATTGCCTCAAAGAGTCGCTGAGATCATCCCCGTAAAGCACTGCCCCAGAGCTCGTCGCTCTGAGGGCTACTCCGGCCCTCTCTTCTTGCATTCTAACAACCTTTGCCTTCGCGGCATGTTGGCTAATGTGTATTTGCTTTCCTCAAAACTCTATAGAAATCACATCCTTCTCACAGAATGTGTTCCAATCCAGGCGACTCTCTCTGGCCTCGGTGGCAGGTAAGTAGGACCTTCTGAACACCTTCCACCCCCTCATGGAAGTGGCCCTTTACTCCCTCCGTGATAAGGACCCTCAGTCCCTGGGGGTCCCTGGGGGTCCACACGGTAAATGCACTTGGCTGCTAACCAAAGGGCTGATGGCTCAAGACCACCAGGAAGCACCTGGGAAGAAAGGCCTGGTGCTCTCCTTTGAAAAACATCCAAAATGTTATGCCGCAGAGGTCTACTCTGACACGCATGGAGTGGTCAAGAGGCAGATTTGACCCCACCGTCACTGGCAGGCCCACAGAGAGCCAGATACATTCTCTTCACCTGATGATTCCAACCCTCACCCCCACCCAGGCTGCCCAACAGCTAGGGAAAGTAGGGGCTGAGCCATCTCTCTCCCCTCCCCTCCGTTTCCCTTGCATTTTCTGGCAAAGGTGCAGAAGAGGAATCAAACGGTTGAAGAGTAGGCAGTAGGCAAGAGAACGAGGCGGACAAGGAGGAAAAAACTAGCGCGTATCATCTGCACACTGAATAATTAGATCCTGAGTAGGCTGCACTATTAATAACGCTCTCAGAAGAATGACATTTTGTTGCTCTTTGGAATGAGCTTGAATTTCAGATCCATATCCAACCAGAACGTTCTATGACATTCAGACAGGTATGAAGCTTCTGGAATAGAGAACATGATTTCCAAATCAGGCTTTCTAAGGTTTTCCTCTTAGCTAACCATTTAGAGTTCATTTTAAGGAGCTAGATTATACATGAACATCTCTCTTTTAAATGGAGTACATTTCGGAGAAGGCGAAAGCTAAATCCTCCTTTACTCCACCCTGGAGATGCCCGCTCTAGGAGTTTGGGGTAAATCTCCAAGATATTAAAATGTATACATTTTATAGGTAAAATATATACCTAGGAAATATACGGTGTGGATTGAAGTGGGCAAAAGGTGACCAGGCTGTGGTTTATAGAAGCACTTTCATGTTCTTGCGTGTGGGTAAGTGACGTTCCCATCTCGAGTCTCAGAAAACTCGTTTACTCTCTCTAGCACGCTCTAGACTAGATGACTCTGAAATCATTTTCTTTTGATGGGCATGAGGTTATTTTCATATGTAAAATGTTCAACAACACTATATAAACACCGTATTTTCTTCATATGCACCTATGCCTGTGCTTCTTCGAGGTCAAAGCACAAAGGCTGCATCAGATCGACATTACATCGGTGAGACATTACTAACGAGATGGCTCCAGTCTAGACTTTTAGCAGTAATGCATGAAAGAGCCTGTCACGGCACTTCCCCCAACAACCTCTCCCTGCACGGGGCGTGTTATCAGCCTTCCATTTAACTCTTGACCTGCTGCTTTATAGCACGCGTACTCCCTGTGGGTTGCACACGGTCTTCTTATCACTTTCATGAGCACGTGTGTTTTATCGATGATGAGTTAGGTTCCTTATGATTTCCATGAGGGCTCCGAACGGGTGATGGTGTCAGCTAGGCATTTGGCAGCCACGTTCAAGGGCAGTGATTCAAACCCACCAGCGGGTAGGCAGGCAAATAAGGCTGTCTCCTCCCGCAAAGATTTACATTCTTGGAAACCTAAAGGGATAGTTCTATTCTGTCCTAGAGGGTCACTAGGAGTGGGGATCCACTCAATGGAATCCACTCAGTGGGTTTGGTTGAGTTTTATTATCGCTACGAATCCTGACCAACGGTTATTTATATGTAAGTGAGCTCGGCAACAATGATACTTAGGAGGGTATTATAAAGATGATTTTAAAAGCGGATTCAGGCTGAGGAACCAAACATTTTTAAAATTATGGTGTGGGCTGCCTGCCAGATCTCCTTCAATGCAAAGAACACACGTGGTATAGCGAGGAGCCTTGGTGGGGTAGCGGGGTACACCTTGGGCCCTTAACTTGTGAAGTTAGCAGTTCAAAACCACAACTTGCCCTCTACAGGCGAAAGATGAGGCTTTCTACTCCAAAAACCCTCAGAAACCCATAGGGGCCACTTCTACCCTGTCCTATAGGGGCCTGTTGTCAGGAGAGACCAGTCCCTGGAGAAGGACATCGTGCTTGGTCAAGTGGAGGGGCAGCAAAGGAGAGGAAGGGCCTCAAGGAGATGGATGGACACAGGGGCTGCAGCCATGGGCTCAGGCACAGGCACAGGTGGGAGGAGAGGGCAGGGCCAGGTTGTGTACAGGGTCGTGATGGGTCTATACCCACTCGATGGCCTCTAACCACATAGGGAGGTTATACGTCTGAATCAATCTATGGCCATGAGGGCATGTACATACAGCCAGGCCCGAGAGGTGGTGGTTTGTTGTTTGTTTCAAACAAAAAGCGAAGGAGGACAAAACAGAAGGAAGAGGGCAAGAAGCAGAGAGAGAGAAGATGCTGGAAACCACCTCAAAGACCGGTAACACCGGTGAAGGGTTGTAACACTAAGAACAGTGAGAATCCCATCAGGGGCCTGGTGGCAGAGCCCGCCGGGACAGACAGACAATGATAAGAGGAGCCTGCCCTTGGGGTACAAGAGGAGGTCCGCACAGCCAGGAGGAGCTGAGAGAGCTGTTTCCCACACCAGAGCGGCTTTGCCTATGTGCTTCCTGGTCTAGATCCTGAGTCGGGGTCCCTGAGCCTGATTCCAGGTAGTAAGTACCCTGTACCTTAGGAAACCACATAACCGTGGTGCTACGAGATGGGAGGGAAGAGTGCTGAGGGAGAGAGAGTGGCCGGGGTCAGAGATGGAGCTTGGAGACTGTAGAAACCTGGGAGCTATTCCACCTCGGTCTCCTAGGAATTGAAGCTTATATTTGAACTTATTCCTACACCTCCGAACCACTATCGTTCCCCAATGTGTCTCTATTGTCGGCACACAAGCCCCGCAGAGATTCCCTTGTCTGTTTGTTTTAAAAGCTTCCCAGCGAAGGTGTCTTTAAACACCACAAAAGAAAAGATGGATCACTTTAAATGCATCAATACTTAAAACCTCAAATGGGCGAACATGATTATAAACCACGTCCACAGTGATCGGAGGAGCTATTGATCACTCAAATGGAAATGCCCTCCTTCCCTTCATGTATAAATCATGAACCGGAGACCAGACTGGGTAAAGGGCATGAGCAGGCATTTCACAGAAGAGAGATGTGACGGGCGCATGTATTTCTTCGAAGGTAATTGTCCCCGCTCTGCCTTTGCAAAACACAACGGAAATTTCAGGCCAGACGGGGAGATTCTTAGGAAGTGAGCATCCAGTAAATGGTAAAAGGCCCTTCCTCCTTGGACCGAGGCTTCCCACCACTTAACACGGCACAGGTTGACCAGCAGTGTCCCTCCCCTCGCTCACAGATGACGTTCAGCACCACGGAGATGGACATCGACTGGTCCCTCTGCAGCTTGCAGGTAAAGGTGACTCCATTGTCGTTTTCACTGATGGGAGAGACACAGACGGAGCTGGAGTTGATTTTGTTGCCAGGTTTCAAATCCACTCTTCCCTCTTCTCGGTACCAGAGAAGTTCTTCCTCGCTGGTGTGATTCTGAACGGCACATATCAGGGACTCCTGCACGTTACGCCGCGTGTTCAGGATATAGCTCTCAGTCCTGCCATTCACGGTTAGAACAGAGCCTGGAACACAGGAAGAAGCGATTAAGATGGACAGAGGAAACGACCTCAACGCCTGTCATCAGTGGCTTGGCTGTCTACGTTGTTACATCAGTGCAATGAAATACGTGGCAATAATCGAAAATAGTCGTACTCCCCCATGTGATTTCACAAGGGACAAGGTCTGTGATTGCTATTAACTGAAAAATAAGAAAGGTTAAATTAGTGGCTACCAAACTTTGTGGCACATCGGAATCTGGAAAATATATATATATATTTTAAATATGGAACGCTTCACGAATGTGTGTGTCATCCTTGAGCATTTAATCTTCTCTGTATCGTTCCAATTTTAGTATATGTGCTGCCGAAGCGAGCACAAAATATATGTATTTTAAATGCCGATGGCCTGGTTCCCATTCTCAGATGCTCTGACTTCATGCATAGGAGGGCGACCTGGATGGACGTCAGGATGCTTTTTGAAAAAGCGCCTGGAGTGATTCTAATGAGCAATGAAAGTTGAGAGCCTTGGGTTAGAAGAAGAGGGAGACAGAGGTGGTGGTCAACTTCTGGAAAGCTCCACAGCACCAGAAATTCTATGTGACAACTCTGCTCCGCTCCACAGGGTGGCTTTGAATGGGAGTCAACTCAATGACCGCTGGTGGACGGTTAGAAAACCGCTATAGAGAACAATCCGTGTGTGTGTGTGTGTGTGTGTGTGTGTGTGTGTGTGTGTGTACATATATGTATACATACCCAAATCAAAACCCATTGCTGTTCCATGGTACCACCAGGTGTGGTTCAAGTTACCAACCAGTAGGTTAGTACTTGAGTTCAGACCATTTGCAGCCCCTAAATCTAGTGCCAAGGGTCAGTTCTGACTCATAGACCCTATAGCAGAGAATCGAACTGCTCCATAGGGATCCTGAGATGTAAACCTTTAAGGGAGCAGAAAACCTCATCTTCCTCCTGAGGAGTGGCTGCTGGGTTGGAAATGCTGATCTTCTAGTTAGCAACCCAATGAGTCACCACTATGTCGCCAGGGCGCTTTGGCACCCCGCCCCCTCCAGTCTTTATATATTGAATAATAATAATTATAAACAACCCTCACTGCTATGGAGTCAATTGAGACTCAAAGCAACCCTATACGGCAGGGTAGAAATGCCCTTGTGAGTTTCCAAGACAGTAATTCTTTATGAGAGCACAAAGCCTCATCTTTCTCCTGAACATATTGAATAGGATTGATTTTTAAAAAATAGAGAAGAGAGTGAAGAAATCTTTAACCAGACATCATAGAAAATTAAGATGGTGCGTCAGGGAAAGAAGGTGCCCTGGTGGCATCGTCGGTTGCTGGTTGGGCTGTTAACCAGCTATAAAGTCAGCAGTTTGAGACCACCAGTTGTGCCATAGGATAAAGAGGAGGCTTCCTCCTCCTGTAAAGATTTACGGTCTCAGAAACCCATAGGGGCAGTCCCACCCTGTCCTCTAGGCTCACTATGAGTTGGAGTTGAATTGATTTGGGGTCAGGGAAATGAAAAAGAAAAATCTTAGCAAGATGGAGACATAGCTAAGCTATAACTGAAAAGGTAAGCTACAAATTACATCTCTAATAATTACAGCAAATGTAATAAGATTACATGTGCACATGAGAAGAACACGTTTTGATTCCATGGCGGTGTCATGTCCAATTAGATCTTGATTTTTCCATGTTTTCATCTTGTTTTTAACACTCTTGGAAAGTTTTTTTAAAAAAGTATTAAGTGGCTGTGGTCTGGGGGGGGGCACGTTGCTATGGGTTGTCAGCATATGTGGCCATTTATTTTCATCTCTGATTTTTGGCGAACCACTTTTTGAGTTGATGTATACCGAATGAATCCGGTTTTCTCTTGACAAACGTGTGTGCATTTTGCTTCATGGCCTTGCTGGCAATCCCCTCCACATAACAGCACTCTTCCCACTTCTTCCCTGCTTTCCACATTTCCATTCATCCATCTCTCCTGCCCTGTGGTAGTTTCAACATCGGGTGTCAATTTGAGAGGATTATGAATGAAAGGGTGGAGTCTGGCCTGTTGATCAAGATATAACTCATGAGGCCTCTGTGTGGGCATGACCTTCTCCTGAGAATTCTGGGAACTCCTGGATTTTCCTCCTTGGAGGCGGGAGACATTCTTATCTCTCTCCCCTCACTCCCTTAAACACGCTGTACTGACAAGACACATGGTGCTAAGCCCTGGGAACTGGAGAAGCCACATGGACCTACCCTGATGCAACCAGATCTCTGGAGCCACTTAGAGATCCTTGCCAGTGCTGAGATGTTTACAATGGCCCTGGATCCAGAAGACTTCCAACCCACTGGCCTGTGATCTTCCCGCATTCGGTGTCATTGCATGTGTTTCGTGAGTCTGAAGAGGACTATAGATTGGTATTGGACATATGGGCTAATATTGGACTTACCTGGACTGGGCTGGGATGTTTTCTCAATATTCAATTACTCAGGTCTATAAAGCTCTTTCTTGTACACATATACGTTTCCATGAATTTGCTTCTCTAGTCTACCCAGACTGACACATGCCCTGTCCTGCCTTCTGAGTCTAGTGTCGGGGCAAATGCTGCCCTTTGGGTGTCATATGTCACTGTACCAAGGAGTTCGTTTCTCCTTGCTGTTCCTGCTCCCTTTACAGGCCTGCCAATTGTTTGGCTGAGAGGTGACTCCTAAGGTGAGTTCAATGGCAGGCTTGTACAGTGTCGAAAGGCCACTTTATAGTCTTAGGGATGCCATGAGTTTCTAGCACACCAGTAAGTCTGGTCTTTTTTCTAATTTTGAATTTTGTTCTACATTTTTACCCCCTCCTAACCTTCTATTGTGATCCTGATCAGGGCAGTTGGTAGTGGTGCCATCTGGTTCTTCTGGTCTCAGGGTAGTGGAGGTGGTGGTTGACTGGTCTATTAGGCTTTGGGGACTATTTCTCTCCTTCAGTCTTTGATTTTCTTCCCCTTCCTTTGTTCCAGAAAAGGAGAAACCGGCAGTTGCTTCTTAGACGGCTGATCACAGGCGTTGGATGTGAAGCATTGTCTTTGTGAACTGTGCGACGCCAACTGACCTAGATGGTCCCCAAGACTGTGGCCCTAAGTCCCAAAGGCCAATGACTCGTTCCCTCCAGGTGTTTAGTTAGGGTTACGAAGCTTCCAGAATCTTGTCCCCTGTATGCTGGACTCTGTGTACATGGATATTTTTATTTGCAGCACATATAATTGCATGTGTAGAAATGCCCTCTGCCAAACCTGTATGTACTCATGGGTGTGCTCCCATTCACCACCCCATACCTGTTCAGCTGGCGTGTCGACCTCGGTAGCTGCTCGTAGATATTGTTTGTCGTTACTAATATACTGCAGACGTGTGCATGTAATATCATTTAGCTTTGTCGTTTTTCACTCGTGTGCATTTCCCAGCATCTTCTCTTGCCTTGGTCGTACGGTTGTAGCTTGCCTTTCCCTTCACCCAAGTTAATGTGTGTCTGCTCTCTGGTTAGTGATCGACCCTTCCTCCCTCTCACCGCTGTTAGCCTTCATTTTTTATTGTTCAGAAATGCATTCACTGCCTAGCAATGTAATTAACTTTCCATTTTTACTTTCCTGGCAGGTAACAAAGGTAAAAAATAACGTTAGCCTTCATGACACATAGACCCCTACACGCAGACACCGGATAACATTTGCTAATAAACTCGTACAGTTTTCTTTGTAAAAGTACAAGCTACTGGTTAAGATAGGAGGGTTGCTGTTGTTCTTGCTGGGTGCCATCAAGTCCACGTTCAATTTACATCGACCTAAGTCTTGAAACAAGTCTGGAAGAAGACTTGTCAAAACTTTGAATATCACCGGATGATGGAATTTACTTTTCTGTTATGTATTGCCTATGTTATTTTATACAATGATTATGTATAAAAGAGGGGGCCACTTCCATGGTAGGGCTGGAAGAAAAACACAGGAGGCTTTTCGGGTAAGTGCTATGTTTCAATGACAGAAGGCTCTTTGGGGCTAAGATAGTAATGAAATGCATTAAAATGTTGAAAACCTCTGACTGTGCTTCTGGTGAGAATCGGAACCTGAAGCCCCCAATTACTTTCATGCAGTTGTTTGGGTTATCAGACTCCTGTACTCTGCAGCTTATCGGTCGTTCGTGCAGCCAATCCAATTTGGAGTCCACAATGTGCCCAATGGCCCGTGGATCTCTCTTGGTTTTTTTTTTTTAATCTGAAAATTGTCTTTGCAAAAAAATTGCCAGAAAGAATATCCACTTACTTGTTATCTCACATGGCAGAAAGAAAATCAATAGGAGAAATTTGCACATTTCTGTTAGGGCTCTGCTCTTCTGTGCCATCTTTAATGGAATCAAGTTGACTCTGTGGGGGGGAAAGGGGAAAAAGTACGGTTGGTTCTGAACTTTGGTCCATACTGAGTTGATGAACCTTTCCTCGGTCCATTAGGCATTTTCAATCAAGTCCCAGATGAGTTAATCCAGCTATAACGGTATTGCTCCTAGTTTTAAATTAAATTACCCTGTTGTGCCTACTGAGTTCAGAGTATTTTGGGTACTAAGGACATTTATTTCAGGTGAAAAGAAAAGGAACAGAAGTAGAGCAACCCAGGAGACGATAAAGCCTGTCTTCCCTAGAAAAATTGACAAAAGAGCATTTTAACAGAAATAGAAATAAGACTTGCTTCATTCTCCTTCGATCCCTGTTTAACAAAGCAATTCTTTTCCCCTCCCCCTCAAACCATTTTATTCGGAACTAATCCAGACCTCACACCATTCCATCACTCAGTCATATTAAGCAGTGTTGTACAATTGCTACCACAATCAGCTTCAAAACATGTTCTTCCTTCTTGAACACAGCCAATCTTGTTCCGAAGGTACCTCTGGGTCACCTTTGTCAAGTAGCTGTCTGATCGCAGAGAGCTTTTAAGATTATTCCAAATCCAGAAGATTCAAAGGGAGTGCTTGAGAAAAGATTCCATCTCAAGTAGGCCTCTAGTCTTAAACTATATTCCGCTCTTTGCCTTCTTCTATCCCTCCACTGCATCCTTCTCAGACCATCCCTTTTCCTTGACACTGTCCGGGCTACACAGAAGAGCTAATACATGCTCCCCTCCTTTCCCCTCCTGTGTGCCTCTGCTTCTGAAGATGTTCTCCACCTCCATGTGAGAAAGCATCCACCCATCATTTCTTTCAAGATGACTATTGTGAATATAAAGAAACACATCTAGAATGCTTTCTCTTTTTAATTAACCTTATTGAGGGCTCTTATAAATCTTATGACAATCCATCATTCAATTGTATTAAGCACACTTGCACCTATGTTGCCATCAACATTTCCAAAACATTTTCTTTCTGCTTGAGCCCTTGAGTATCAGCCCCTATTTTTTCCCCTCCCTCCCCAACCTCCCACCTTTGTGAAACTTTGATCAATTATATATTGTTGTTAGTTCATGTCTTACAGTGCCTGTTGTCTCTCTTCACCCATATTTCTGTTATTCATACCCCTGGGGGGTGGGCTATATATCCAACCTCGTGATGGGTTCCCCCTTTCTTCCCCACCATCCCCTTACCCTCATGATAGAATGCTTTCTGGTGCCAGGCATTGTGCTAAATACTTTACATTCATTTCATCTCAATTAAGCTTCGCAAGATCTCTATCAACATAGCTTCCGAAGGCTTGGGGAGATTACATAATCTGCCCAAGGTCCGCAAGACTGTAAATATCAGAATTAGGATTCAAACTCAGGACTTCCCAAAACTCTGCTGTCTTCCTTTGAGAAGCCGCTGTTGATCTTTTTCAGCCCCTGACTAATCCATAGACCGTAGTCAACGAGTTTGGTCCTTTTAACCTAAGCACTAACATTCCAGAGCTGCAGCCCAGCTATGACTTCTTTGGCCTTGTTGCCTCCTCTCCTGTCTCAGGCCTGTTCTGACAGGCGCACGTTTCATTCTCACCAGGCTCACCCTTTCAACGACATGCAATTAGTCCTGACTATTCATTGTTTTGTCATTTAAAATATGTGCCCCAAAGATTACTATCATGGTGTTGTAACAGGGAGGCTTTCAGAATTTGGTTGTCAATAGCATCGTACACTATACAACCAAAATACCAACCCCACCACCCTTCAGTCCATTGTGACGCTGACTCTCTAGTGGGGATAGATTGTACATTATAGCTTCTCAATAAAAATGGACTGGTAGGTCTCTTGACAGACCTCACTCCAACCTGGTGAGGAAGACTTGCTTTCCTTACCTTCCACCCACCAAGACAGCAATTTTTCAAAATCAATTTCCCTCCCCTGATTCGTCTTTATCTTTCAGGGCTCTCTCCTTTCTGTAGGAGACAGAATCACTTACCCGCTGAGCTCTGAAAGCTGACTTCTTTGGCCAATTGCTTCTCTGCCCGAGAACTGAGAATCCCTTGTCTGTTCCCCTCTTTTATAATACTTGATTTAAACACTTTATGGCAGCAAGGTCAAGTGAATTAGATTGGGTTCAAAGTCTGTTTCCCTTTATGGATTCTTAGAGAAGACAGTAATTAGGAAAGACATCTTCTTAAGGTCTAAGATTTTATGTGTCCTGAAATTTCGAGGTGGGGCCAGATATTACTAACAGGGATGTAATTGCTCGAAGAAACCTTGACCTTGTGCAAAAAAAAAAAATGTGCAACGCATCTCACTGAGCATTGTCATCCTCAAGTTAGGTGACTGCACTTTGATAATATAGCCTGGGAATTGGAGTGGGGCAAGTAGAGGTTTAACTTTCAACGCAGTCACGACACTCGAAGTGTCTTCCACACAAGCTTGACAATGCCAGAAACATATCACCACTGGTCATCCAACCCTGGTGCGAAAGCTGGGCCAACTCAGGCTTGGCCAGGAGGAATTTTGTTCTTTTGAGGCTGCCTCCTGGTTGATTAAGCTTGTATAAGCCCCTAATAAAATGATTAATTAAAAAAGAAAAAGAAAAAAAACCTCCCAGATGTCTTCTGGCATCTGAGAGTATGTGCATATTGATGCCTTGAAACAGCAAATGAGCTTAGTTGCAAACACATTGACCAGCGAGTAAAGGAAAAAAAAAAAAATCCTTGCACTATCCTTTCAAAATAATTGGCAGTTGGGGACAGCATTTTTTAATGGGTGAACAGTACTATAATGATATGAAACAACATTTCAATTGGGAAGTACAATTGCTTGGCTTTGAACAAGAAGAAAATAAATGACTGTGCATGGCTATCCTTAGGGCTCAGCACCCTGGTTAAGAACATGTGAGACCTGCCTCTTACAGTGTGACTTTTATAAAAAGTTATTAACCTCTGTGAACCTCCTGTTCGTTATCAGCACAAGGGGAGGGGGGCGGTCATCATAGTTTGGTCTCTATAGCGTCACCAGGGGGATTCAATAAAAGAAAGCATGCCAAACGGTTACATAGTCAACTCTTATGAAGTGGTGGCTATTATGAAGTTGTCCTGGTGGTGCTCTGTTGCACTAGGTATTGACCACAAGGTCAGCAGTTCAAGTCCACCCATAAGACTTCTAAGAGAGAAAGATGAAGTTAACTGCTCTTGTGAAGATTTAGTCTCCGAAACCCTGTAGAGCATCACTAAGAGTTGGAATCAGCTCAACAGCAGTAGGTTATCATTATTAATGTTTGCTAGGAAAACCAAAACCCGCTGCCACGGAGGCAACCCTGATGCATAGCAACACGAAAGGACTGAGAAGTGTCCCTCAGGGAAGCCGCGGCTATAAATCTTTAAGGAAGCAGACCCTACGCCTTTCTCCACTGTTTGGTTAGCAGCCATACATTTGACAGTGCCACCAGGGCTCCTGGCATGCTGGGCAAGGCCTAACACATAATCACAACTTTGCTAGGATTGTCCTAGAAAGAATCTTAGCTCCTGTTCACTGTGTTATCCTTCTGGCAGTCCATGGTACCTTCAGTAGTCTTCTCCAATACCATCATTCAAATTCGTATTGGATGACATTGGAAAAGAATGACTAATTATGCTATGGCATGAAAATGGTATTATGGTCCAAGGATTATAGGTGTTTTTTTAAAAATAGGTAAAATATCATGGTGATTTCAACCATCCTTCAAATAATTTAGCCAAAATAAATAAACATGCATGTGTGCACATGCGCAGATGAAGCAACTAGAGCAGCCTGCTAACAGCTGCAGAATCTAGATTGTATATAGAGGCTTATTACGCTGTTTGAACTTTCCTAAACATCTGAACATTTTCATAACCCAAAAGTCAGGAAAATGCTTTTTTATAGCTATTTATAGAGTCTTGTTGCGTGCCATCAAGTCTATGCTAACTTAGAGTGAGCCCTTTGATATAGAACCTTCCCGTGGGGTTCTTTAGGCTGTAATCTTTACCGGAACAGATTACCAGAACTTTTCTCTCATGGAGTCAAATGCAGGTTCGAACCTCTGACCATTCATTTAGCTTTACACTGCAACCACCAGCACTCCTTACTGTGTGTCTACTGTGTGCTAAGTACTCTACGTATTGAAGATGCTAACCCCACAGCAAGTCAATATGGTGGCTTTGCATGAATTAGAAAAAGATATTGGTTTTTCGAGACACTCTATTGCCACCTGTAATAATGATCTAAATCTATAATGAAAAGGAGTCAAACAGTTAACATGCTCAGCAGCTAACTGAAAGGTTGGAAGGTTGAGGCCACAGAGAGGGATTTCTGAAGAAAGTCCTGAAAAATCAGCCTGGAGCTGAGTTCGACTCTGACATCCATGGGATGGAGTTGCCATGGAAATAGATTTTATAGTAACTAGACTTCTCCTTCTGCAACCCTCCTTTCTTGGTTCCAACTATAAACCATATGTCTCACCTGAGCTCTCAACGTCTTTTCATCTACCCTCTAGGCTTCTCTTCTTGAGTGTCCTGAAGGCACCCCAAACGACATGTCGCACCATGAATTGATGATCTACACACTCTTGTACTCCCAAAGATGCATACTTTTCTCTTTTTGTAATGACTATGAGAAGAATGGTTCTCCCTGAACTGTCCAACAGTAAATGAGTCCCCTGGTGGACACAGAGATAACTAAAGCCAAGTTCTTGACATCAAGAGCTTTGGACTGTAACCTGGGGAAGTGAATGATGCCCGAGAACCCCATGGGTAAGAAAAATGGTATCATGGCGCCCCTTCTGGAGACTGTAGGAAGTGATGCGACTTGCTTATGATCATCTACTAAGTCCCCGGGACATTCCTCTTTCCTAGGAAACATGGCAACCCAATCGCAGAGTAGAACTGTTCCAGAGGGCTTCTGAGGCTGCATGAGAAAAAAACTGCGTCATCTTCCCCCTGAGGAGTGGCTGGT